CTGAGCCCATGCCAGGCACCCTTCAGCTGCCTTTTTGCTTCTCCGTTTAAAATGTGACAAGACGGAGGACTGCCGTAAGGTGCTTGGCCTGGCAGCCTCTGATCTCTGCTCTTGCACTTGCAGGTCAGGACAGGAAAGCGTGGATGTTGCCTAAAGTACCAAGAATGTGGGTGGGACTGTCCTTTCTCCAAGAAGAGCTGTGGAAGCTGTGGTCCCCCCCACCCCATTGCAATCCCCTTGCATGGAGGTGGGGCCCTGCTGAGCGTGTGAATGGAGCAGAGCAAGCAAGGCTTAGCGTTCTCTGCTGGGTGGGAGGAGAAGGTTTGTGTGCCTGTGCCGAACTAGCCCTTCCTTGGACCTTTAGTTTGCAGGTTGGGAAGAAGAATGGATTCCTGTGTACCCCTTCCAGAAGGAGGCCTTGTTGAACGCAAGCCCCTGCTCTCGAGCTGGGAGGAGTGCCTCACACACAGGGTTTTAGCGTGTGCCCGAGTGACTGCCTGCTGGTCTTCGAAATACAAAAGTGCAGCATGCTTTCTGGCCAGCCAAAAACCTGCTCTGCCCATTTTGGCACTCTGCCATTCTCGCTCAGCCAGTGATGCTTGGGATTCATCGAGTAGCTAAAGTTGAATTGCTAACCCTCAGAAAAATGTGCACTCCCTTTTCCATGGAAAACAGTTGCAGTCGTTAACCGAACAGCTTCAGTTACATATACTCAATATATTTTCGAGGACAGTATATTATTGAGTTGTTCAGCTAAATAAATGGAGCTGTACTCAGTTTATGGTATGTGTTACGTTTTATCAGTTGCTTTATAAAATACGCATTGCTAAGCAATACACATTTCTAATAAAAAGTTAAAACAATAAGCATAACAATAGCTGTGGCTATGTGCCAATTCAGAATAAAATTCCATCATAAAATGAACTTTTGTAAAATTACTGTTTTATTTCTGTACCTCCTAAGAGATGAAGCTCTCTGGTTGATTGACAACATTCATAAAATGCAGTATAATACACCAACAATTAACAATACATGATGAAAATTTCACTACAGAAACTTAAAAAATAAACAACTGAAATAATTGTAGCAAGTTAATACAACTAGGCCTTTTATAAACAACTGACAATTCCTCGCTTGCCATTTAGGGCTGCTAAATCCCAAACGGACAGCTCGGCAAACACCTTGAATTGGCTTGGAAGCATGATCATAGCCAGTGGAGAATGGGTCAGAATCTGTGTGTGGCTGACCCTCTGGTTCCAGTTAGCAGTCTGGCTGCTGCATTATGCGCTCTTGCTTCCAAACGACTCTTCAAGGGCGGCCCCTCCAGGAGTGCCGTGCATCAGTCTAATTTGTGGGTTACCAGAGTAGTGTGTTGTGGCTGCTTCAGTTTAATAGCTTGATATTGTTCTCAGTCAGTTGCAATCCAGAATGTTCTTGTCCGCTGGGAACTGAACTGACTGGCGTATCTGCAGAAGCGTCATCTAATGCCCTTTTGCGAGCCCATGAAAGCGCACAGTGCGTGGTGCACATAGTTTCTTACATTTGTCAAGTGCAGAAGTCTCCTAGGCAGCATTTCAGTGCCGTAAATGCTCTTCTGTTTGATCAGTGCTTGTGTGTTCATGTACAGTGGCACCTCGGCTCACGAACTTCATCCGTTCCAGGACTCTGGTCGTGCCTCAAATTGGTCGTGAGCCAAGTCGAATTTCCCCACAAGGCTCAATGTAAATCAGGTTAATCCGTTCTGTAACTATTTTTTTATCAGAAAAATGTGAAGCAAAGTGACAAAGAACAGCAAAGATCACTGCCATCTCCCCACCCCCCAGCACGACCTCACCCATCATCTCGGTGCGCTGGGGGGGGAGACGGGCACGATCGCACTCGGGGAGAGAGATGGGCAAGAACGTGGGCGTGCAGGGGGGGAGAGATCGTGGGTGTGCAGTCGTGCTGGGAGGGAGATGGCCGAGATTGCGGTTGTGCTCCTGAAAGACAGGTGCTATCATGGGCATGCTCGTGCAGGAAAGACGGGCACGATCTCGGCCACCTCCCCCTGCCCCCAGCACGATCGCAGCCACCACCCAATTAGGAGTTCACAGCAAGAGCCAAAATTTTTATGAAATTTTTGTTCAGGACCCAATTTTTGTTTGTGAGCCGAGGTACCACTGTAGTCTTCAGCTGCCTGATTTTACAGTAGGCACAACACAGTCCTGGGTAATAACTCTAGAATGGCAACTTTTGCTATTAATTCCCTTTCAGTCCGTCAGAATCAAAGCCACTGCTGCTTGTGTTCATGTTCTGGACATATTCTTATGGTTTAAAGTCCATTTTAATGTTTAAAGATCTGGTAGTTCGGCAAGTTCCCTGTCAAATTTCTGCACAGTCATCTCTTGCTGAATTTGTCTGTTTCCCTCTCAGTTTCTCATGCAGCTCTTCATAGAGTTGGAACGTAGGCGTTCATTCAGATGGTTCAGTATCTTTCTAGATTACTCAGTGCATATATGCTGGTATAACATTCTTCAAACTCTTTAGAAATATCCAACTTCATCTCTTACAAGCTTAGTACTGATGCTATAAATAACCCTCCTTTTATTAAACTGTATGAGTCAACAGTTTCCCTGAATTTAGCTGGAAAAAACCTTTGAAAGGGCTAAAGATTGACTTCCCACCTGTCTTTAGCATCTTTAATTTTCTTTAGAGATATTTATATAAACATGCCTTCAATTCTTTACTTAATTTCTTTAATTTCTCTTCTAAAATCTTTTTTAATGTATAATCTATACTTCTGAAATTACTTTAAAAAATTTCCTGTCTATTCACTTTATTTCTGTGCTAGAAATGACTGACTTAATCACTATATTTTGTCAACCCATTCCACTTCTCTTACCTTAATATATAAAAGAGCATGGTCTGATATATTATTTTAATACCATAGTGTTGCCTTCATTAGTACAGGTGTTGGAAGGAAAAAATCTATCCTTGAATAAGCTTGATAAAATCTGTTTCTACATTCAGTTTGTTTAATCTTCATTAAGCTAGTGGCCATTTCCACCTCTTGTGATTGGATATCGTAAATCATGCATGATCTGAAATTCTTTTGCCAGTCTTGAATCCGCTAATCTAGATATTGAGTTAATGTGCTAGAGAGAAGGAAAAACCTCTCCCTGCGCACCTTGTATAATTTGTACTAGTTGTACCAGCATTAACTTTTTGGAAGCTGTCTGTGCCACTGATGCAGTTTCCGCTGCCAGTAACTAAGGGCTGTGAGCGCTTCCAGGTACTTTGGGAGGTGTACGAGCCATTCAGAAAAGGTTGACTACTTTCTCCCTGTTATCGCCACCTTTTTAAAATGTTTGTCTCTTTCCCTCTAAATTGCTGCTTTGCAAATGGTGCTAAGATACTGGATCAAAAGTATAAATATTTTTAAATAGAAAGCTTTGTTCTGTACAGTTGTCTCTTGGTATTGTGAGTGCACCATCAAGGGATGTGTGGTCTACACGTCGTAAAAGCCCTGTCACATTGAGCGTGGAAAAGAGTTGGAAGGTGGTCGTGTTTTCCTCAGCAGCTCTAGTCCAAGGCCTTTGCCAGGGCAAGAGGGGCCGGGCCAGCTGTGTTCTTCCAAATCAAGCTTTCTTCCCCAGAGATTAAGCAATGGAGTAAGGGAAGAATCTTTAAAGATGTCAGAGGCACCAGTTTGTTGGCTGTTTGTCACTCTTATAGGGAAAACACATAGCTAGCACTCTCCCGTATGGAAAAAATAAAGGTATGACTCAGCAACACCACCGGAGTGGAATGTTGAATCTGCTGTCGATGATTGCAGCATCCCAAGTGAGGATTAATGGCCTCTTTCATCTGGCCAAGGCTTTTCCCCATTAACCGATCACTGGAGAATCTAGAGGGGACAATTTGGGAATGTCTGTCTGTTCGGCTGTTGCCTGTTCTAGTGTATGGCGAATGGGTCAGCATGCCGGGAAATGATTCTTGGTTATTCTCGGGAATGAAGGGGGCACTTATTCTTGTCGTGCGTTCCAAGGTCAAGCAGATTTGGGCTTGTCAGATGAGGAGTGGCCCTGGGAACCTGAATCCTCTGACATTGACATGGAAGAGGCAGGGGGGCTTATCTCAAGGGCCCCCTCCCCTGGCAGATGTTGAGAATAGTCAGGATGTGCCATCACAGGGAGGGGACGTGCAAGACCAACTCTTGCAGCTGGCCGAGCCGGGAACGGCTCTCGAGCCCATGACGCCACGTTAGGGCAAATGGTTTTGGTTGTGCCCTTGTGGCCGATAAGCCCCCAGACTGAGGCTTACGAGCATCCCCTGCAGAGTTGGAAGAGCAGTGGACCATGATCACCACCTTCCCATATTCTTGCTTTGCATTCTTGCGAGATGGGCATTTACGCAGGGCCCAGAGGGAGGGGAGGGGGCTTGAGACACCGTCGGATATGCTCTGTCCTGCGCTTTGGGTCTCCTTCCCCCATGCTGAAGAAAAGCAGCCTCTAGCTAATGTCTCCTTCAGTCTCTCCTCTCTGGCAAACTGCAGTTGAATTAGAGCAACCTTGCAAAGCTCACTTAGCGGTGGACCCTAAAGCGAGAAAAGTGAACCCAGCATTGGGAATTGATCTTGCTCCCAAACCTGGGAGGCCGTTCATATGGACATTACTCAAATATAAAACTGCCCCTTGTTTTGGCCGTGTCCTCCCTGCTCTTTACCTCCGGTCCTGTGGAGCATACATTCTCCAGCTTCCTTTTCGGAAGAGCCTTTTCTTCCCTTCCCATTAAATATGGTTCCTCTCTCCCTCTCCTTCCCTCCCTTTTTGGGTGTTCCAGCAGATGACTGTCTCCCTAAGGCCTGTGTGGGAGCCATGGCTTTTGAAAGGTGTCATTTACCGTGTGTTGCTTAATTACTTACTGTTTGTTCTCTTGATATGCATCACAGCCTTTTCTTTTCCCTCTTATAGGTCCGGCTGGGGATTTACATCTGGCTTCAATGTGAAATTAAGGTAGAAAAATGCACATAAACATGTGTTTCCTGTTAAGATTTAGTGTACTCAGTGGTTATGCCTGAAGAGTGGGTCTTGTCTTTAGACTGATAACTGCCAGGAAAGATAAATGAATGTCCTAGAAGCCAAGCGTGTCTCCTCCTCATTGGAGTGAAAAACAACCCCACCTCCCGGTTCCCACGGAGTACCATCTACAGAAAATGCATCACGGTCTAAGGATGACGGCCACCTAGATTCATGCACCCAATCGGTACAGTTGTTGCGGATGGTTTGCCACCTGAACGCTCCTCAAGCACCTGTCTGGGTCCTGTGCCTGTTTCTGAAATGTCTCTGCTTCATGCTTTGGGCCCTGTGCAGACCTGGCTGGGACAAGAGCTAGAGAAATGTGGCATTGATGCCATGATCTATACTCGCTATGTCCTCAGTTTGCTGCTGCATGATAGTTATGACCACGACCTGCAGGAACAGGTATTTACCTATTTCCGATGTGTTGGACCGCAAAATGTCTGCATGTCCTGCTTGCGTAGCCCTTGCTTGAAAGATGTTTTGAAACCAGACGTGTGCTTGCTACTTCCACGAGTAGTACATTTTAGCAACAGAATAAAATGAAGATGAGCATGCGAAACTCCCAAGTTTGTTGAAGGGTTTGGGAACTTTCAGGGGGAAGTTTGACTTGTGCCATATTGCAAATCTTTTTGGAAAGAGGCTATTTCAGAAATAGCTTTCCATGTCGTTTAAAGGGTGGTGTGGCTTGCCCTTTTCCCCTCCCTCTTAATTTTACATGGTGACAGGTTTGACTTTTGCCACACCTGTAGGCCCTGACACCTGTAGCGTCTGATTTACCTAGCCATAAATACCATGGTGGCTTTGATAATAAACATGAAGGGAAAAGTGCTGTCTTTCAGTGAGTGGCTTTGCTATCTGTGTCTCTTTTTAGAAAAATAAGCGTCAAGTGACTAATGAGTCGAGATTAATCTTTTAAGTGCATCACTCAGCCCTGTAGAACAGAGGTGGCCAGCCATTTTTCTGTTGGGGCTGAAGCCGCCAGCCGTGTGTGGAGGCCATCGTTTCGCTTCTCACTTCGGTGGGCTTCTGGGGACCGAGATGATCAGCTGCAGAGGACTTTGGGTATTGGGTTGCGGGCTGGGCTGCAGGTTGCCCATCTCTGCTGCACAAAATTAGCTATGGGGGTAACTGAGAGTATGCCCAGAATGTTTGCTAAAAGAGTAATACCTCACCTCGGCACATACACCTGCTTGCATCAGGAAAGCGTGCCACCGGTGTCCTTGCTCAGCTGTGCGCCCACTGCCAGGGCCAGCACCTTGTCACTTTTGTGGCTCTGTACGTTCGTCCATTGCTCAGCGTCTCCTAGTCTAACTCCCTTTCCTCCAAGACCTTTGCGCAGTCCTGCCCCAGTCGGCACGTGTGGAGTGGAAGCTGAAAGCACCACCTCTTGAGACCAGAACAGCTCTGTGTGGTACTCATGTATCTGCCAGTCTTTGTTTTTTGAGCTGTGTTTGAGTGAACTCTCGACACGTCCTCGGTCTCTGTGGGAAGGCTAATGAGTCTGCTTCCCTGTCATGCGTCTGGTATGGAGCAGGGCAGGTTCATGTTGCAACTACTGTTCTTAAGACATGCTACATTCAGGCTTGCCTTCTTGCAGCCGCAGTGGTAAATTTGACAAGGGACTGTCACATGTCTTCACTTTTCTGCTCCACTATTAACTCTTGCAAAGAAAAACATAAATCCAAAGATTTAGGCTGTGGTCCTGCTAGGTAATAGAATTCATTCTTTTCTTCTCACATTAATAGTTCATCATTGTGCTTATAGGAGAAAGTAAATATTGATATACTGTATTTATTTTTCATGATCTGATGCCTTTCGATTTGATGGTAGGAATAAGCAGTTTGGGCATTTTTGTTCAGGCATTACATGCAGCATTTCTTGCTTAGCAATTTTTTCCTCCTCCTCCTCCCACCCCCCCTTCCATCATTACACACTCTTCTTCCAGCCGTAATGCTTTGGGCTCTCTCTCTAGCTATTTTTCGCCGTCGCAGTGCCCCTTTTGTCCAGATAGCATGCCATCTCCTTGGCAGGCTGAAGAGAAGGCGAACACCGCCGTGCTGGTTCTCCCGGTCTGAGGATCAGGACGGTTCTGCGCCTCTCGCCCCTCATGGTAGCACTGCAGGACTGCCTTCCGTTGCATCTCATCAGAAGGCAATGAAAAGCAGTTGTTTCCCGGAAAGCTGTGGCTGAAGGAATGGGGTAGCTTATCCTAGAAAAGTGGCAACATTCTGCTCACTTGGAATCATACAAATGCGCACCCGTGCGACATTTTGAGAGCTCAGCTGATTTGTGTTTGTTGCTTAATTTTTGAAAAGCTGTTCTAGTCCAAGCACTGAATTCTTGCTCTGCTGCTCCTGTTTGGGAGCCCCTGCAGGTATGGTCATTACCCCAAAAATAGGACCCCATGGAATTAATCCTAACTGCTTATGCCTGGGTGGTAGAATGAGATGTAAATCCCGTTGAACCAGCTGGAAGCAGTGACCAAGTGGGAAAGTCTTCAAATGGAAAATATATATGTTTATGTTATTTGTATTGTACATTTCACCTTTCCTCTGAGGAGCCCAAATACTTATTTTCTCTGATTTATCTGCATAACAACCCTGTGAGAGTCAGCGATTGGTCTGAAGTTGCCCAGTGAGCTTTATGCACAAGTGAAGACTAGAACCAAGGATTTCGCTCTGCAGTCCAGCACGTCATCCCTGTGCAAACGTTTTATTAGCTTTGCCCCAAAGTGCACCAGCTCAGCTTATTATAATAGAAGCTGATGGCATTAATTTATTGGAATATACCCAGCCCATTCCATGCCAGGAGTTGGGGTGCCATGTTACGTCTTCCGTCTTGCCCCCAGTGCCGAGTGAGGTCATTCCAGCGATTTGGAATGCGTGGTCACCGGGGTGCTGAAGACACCCCATCAGATCGTCCTGCCGCTTTTCATTTGATTGAGCTGAGGCAGCAGACGTGCTAAATCAAGGCTGGCTTTGGCCGTGGAGCGAGTGAGGATCCATTCAGTCCCGGTGGCAGATGCGCAGCGGAATGAGCCGTGGCAGCTCAGGCTGGTCGTGCTGAAATGGTTGGGGGCAGGCTCGCACTCTCCCCGGAGGATGAGTCTCTGCTTGAGAGCCTTCTAGCTCCGTCTCTGTTACCGGGGGCTCAAGTGCCTCTGTGGCAACGGCTGCACGGCAGCGCTTTAGCCGATATACCTGCTGTGCATCTGTGCGGACAGCTAGTTTAGCCTCAGTTACTAACTTGTATCATCGCCAGCTTGGACGTGAAATCTCCAGGTAATCCACTGCATGTTGGCTCCCTTCTGAAGACAGTTTGGAAAATGCAGTTAGTGCAAAGTACAGCTGTGAGAGTGCCAGCTGGGATCAGGTGGTTGGAACAGGTCGTGATGGCATGGAAGTGCCTGTGTCTGAACTTAAGGCAGAGCGTTGTTACTTACCTTGTAAAGCCCATCCTTCTCTGCTCAGGAACAGGGCACCCGGCTGCCCATCTTACTTCCCCATGTGCGCACCTGTGTGTTGAGCTCATCTTTTTGGAGACATGCTTTGTCGTACCTTCTATCACAGGTACAGCAAGTGGAGATCAGGAAAACAGCTTCTTGGCAGTGATGCCCCCGTTGTGAGGCCTACCTGATGCCTATTTTGCCGTCACTTTGGAACCAACCAAATCACTTTTTATCCTTCTACCCATGTTAATTGTGTAGTACTGTTGAATTCTACCATCTTTTTGTTAATGCATTTTCATCTTTATTGTAAAGCTGCCATAAAAAACATCTGTGGTAAAATACAAAACCAGAAGGTGAGAGGAAATAGGGTCATGGAATGCATATGTGTTGTTACTTCCATGTGATTCTCTTTCTCCCTTCTCCACTAGTGTTTCATATCTGCCCTTTTTTAAAAAGGTCAAGTGTTTTGAAAACTGTACAGGAAAATACTGCAGTTAATTTGTATTTTTTACATGTATTTATTTTAGGAGAATGACATCTTCCTGGGCTGGGAAAAGGGAGCTTACAAGAAATGGGGGAAGAGTAAGAAAAAATGTTCTGATCTAACACTAGAAGAAATGAAAAAGCAGGCTGCTGTTCAGTGTCTTCGCTCCGCTTCTGATGAAGTAAGGATCGGCATGATTGTAAAATGATACTTGACTCTGGTGCGCAGTTGGATCATACCTGTTTAATACCTGTTCATAGTTTGTCTAACTCCAAATAGGTGGAACTGCATCTCCGGTAATCTCCAGCTAGTACGCTGGCTGAGGATATTGGGAATTGTAGCCCTGGGCATCTGGATGACACCAGATTGGGGAAGAATTCTCTATATGCTACGACTCTAGTTCATGTTGGATAATTTTAGACCTACTTAATAATAGTAAAATGGTTGCTTAAAATACTGAACTAAATAGTACTCTGCTAAGGATGCGTCTAGCTTCTTCCTTCCTTGATTCTTTCATTATACAGTCATTGGACCCATATCAGTCTGACTTCTGGTCTGGTTTTGGAATAGAAACCACCTTGGTCGCCCTGTGGGTTGAAGTGTGCTGAGAGAGGGGCAGGGCAGGTGTGACAGTGTTGTTTTCCCCGGCCCTCCGAGTGACCTTTGATATCATTGACGCTGGCTGTCTTCTGGGTTGGCAGCTGGCAGTCTGGTGTTCCAGTGGTTCCATTCCTGCGTGGGTGGCCAAATCCAGCCGGTGTGCCTGGGCAGAGATGCTGTGGAATTCTGCAGGGCTTCACCCTGTCCCCCGTGATGTCAAAGCATGCCGTTTAGCCTCCATATGAAACCCCAGAGAGAAATTTTCTGGAGATGTGGGCTGAGGTGTTCCCAGTGCACAGGTAGCACCTGGTCTGACGTCTCCTTCTCATCAAATCCAGGTGAGGGCAGTGGATGTTCTGATCCAGTGCCTAGATGCAGGAGTGGACTGTGGCTCAGTCCAGACAACACAGGTCAAAAGTTAGTGGGCGGTTGGCCTGCCAGGGGAAGTGATGTTCAACCTCCTCTCCGGGGGATGGTGCTTCCCCGAGGGATGAGGGTCCTTGTTTGGAGCTGCTGTTGGATCCAGTAGTGTCGTTAGAGGCACATTAGAGGTCCGTGTGGCAGTGAGCACCTTTTAAGAAGTCGAGGCTGGGATACCAGCCACGTTCTCGCCTTGGCAGAGATCGCTTAGCTGCAGTCATACATACTCTGGTAGCTCTTGGATTCTCCCTTCGGTTTCAGATTCCTGGGCCTATCAGAAAAGCTGGTCATGATTTTCGAGACAGGTTACATGCCTCTTGTATTCCTGCTGGACCCGAAAGTCAGCTTCAGAGCCCTTTCCTTGGTGTTCCTTTTCCTGGTGCCCCTGCCAGGAAAGGCCTTTTTGCTCTCACCCTGGTCATGGAATGACGACTTCCTCAGAGAGGCTTCCCCAGCACCTGTGCTAGGCCAGGGTGCAAAACTTTTTATTTTCCAAGGCACTTTAGTTGAAAATTAAATTTCTCATTGCATTTTTATATCTCTGCAATGCTGGTGATTTTTACCGTTCTTTTCTACAGTATTTTTACATTCTTTAAGAAAAATAAATCTGTGTTTATCGTGCTGCTTTTTATGGTTTTAGTTGTTGCGACCTGCCCAGGGAACTTCAGCTCTTAAGTGTAGAAAAGTAGCAAATGAATAAATAAATTCAAAGCCATGTAGAAGTAGATCGGTTTGTGAAAGTAGCCTTTACAACTTCAACTTGTGGAGTTTAAACCAGCAAGAAATGAGGCATATAAAGGCTTTGGTCTCTGCAGGTAATATTCAGTGATTGCTAAATGAAGGGACGTGAAGGGAAAGTGGGGTAAGCGGGCCACATGCACTCGTTTCCACCTGCATTTCCCCATGTAGGGTCTTAAATCTGAAATTTGTAATACTTTAAAGTTGAGTTGGTCTTGGGGAGGATTGTCTTTTGTCATATCAGGACGGAAGCAAAACAAATTTTTAAGCTGACACTTTTGGTGAGAAGAAAATTTGGTCCTCTGCCATCTTTGGAAAGGGACACACGGCCATTCTATGCCCTTTGACTGCACTCCTTTCTTGCAGTTAAACTGGCGACTTCCTTGCTTAGAAGCCTCCGCAGGGAGAGCAGCTTCAGGTTTGATTAGAAGCACTCTCTGGTGTAAAGTGCACTTAAACTGGTCGTACGCGCAGCCTCGCTAGCAGCCTGGAGGGAAGTGCGTTCTCTTAGTCTCAGTGAGCGCCCCTCCCACTACAGCTTCATGCAGGGCCGTTGTAAACATTTTTGGAAAACTGTGTGTACGCTCCTAATGCATTGAGTTGTTGCTAAGCTTTAATTGTGCTTTGTCATTGTGCAGAGCTCTGGGATTGAGACTTTAGTGGAAGAGCTTTGCTGCAGGCTGAAAGACCTACAGAGCGAACAAGGTGAGATTGTCTTGTGGAATAAATAGTTTCAGAGGTTAGTTCTCCGAGCTTTTCAGGCTCGACCTCACACACAGTTTTTCCATTCATCCCGGCCGTGTCTTCGCACGCAGTGGGGAAACCCCACCTGTCTACCTAGTGCTGTTTCATTCTGTGAGTTAGGTTGGATGGGATCTTCCCTGCTCTCCTCGCTCCCACCCCCAACGCTACCTGCAGAAGCCTAACCTTGCTGCTGACATGCAGGGGGATCAAGAGCCTTTCGTTCATGCAAGCCCCCCCCCCCCCCCGCAGACTGCAAAGGTACAGTCCACTTTATGGGCTGCTGGCGATAACGTGACCTCAGTTCTTTCAGGATGATCACTGTGACGTTTGGTTGTAATTTACTGTGTTTCTTTGTAACCTTGACTTCCTTTGTATGCTACAAGAACCAGTGCAGAACCACGTCGGGAGAGAGCACTTATTCACCAGGCATCTAGAATTGCTAGTGGAGATTAAGAACCTGAAGATAACGTTTGAAAACAATGCTTTACTTCAAGCTGATGTTATGTTGCATATTTTTAAAGGCTAGCTTAGCCTTTATGAAGTCGGAATGTGGCTGCTGGTAAAACATTGCACCTCCTGAATCAGTCACTCTGAAGTTACTTCTCTTAGAGCCGCCTTGCTGTGCAGGCTGGGCTAGTTCTGCGCTGGTCCCATTTGAAGCCCACAGAAAAGTCCATCGTGGCATAGAAATGTTATAATAATATTAATAATAATAATAATAATAATAAACTCAGGTCCCACTGATTTCAAGAGGACTTGAGTGGGAATACCGTAGTCCGGATCCATCCTCAACATTTGCCTTTTCAGGCCAGACACCGTGTGTGCAGCTTATAAATGTACTGTGGTATTTACAGTCGCAGGATTAATATGATAGACCAGAAACATGAAGGTCACGAGGGGGCGGACCCAGCGTCTCCAAGAGGCGATGCATTGTGTCCCACCAGTGTAATCCACAGGTGGATGGTTGGTCTCATACTCTTTCAGCGACGTGCACACCTGCATTTTGTTCAGTTCCCCAGAAGCAGATGCTTCCGTTCACTTCCCTAACAACCAGCCAAGATGGTCATTTTTTTCTGTTTGCGGATTTCAGCTCTGGCAAAATTTGAGTAAATTATCTTCTCCTCCCGGAAATCCATTACTTTCTTAATTATTTCCCCACCCTCTGAATATCTCCAGACAAGTAGAATACTGCATTGCAAAAAGGTCGTGGTTTACTTGAGCAAGCGTTTTGGTAATTTTCCTGGCTTAGTATAAAGAGTATTTTTATAAATTCTGTCCTTTAATGGTTACATAACCTTTAGGAGTCTTTAATTAGAGAACAAAACCAGTAAATTGTGGAATTATATTACTGGAAATACATTTTTAGTAGGATGTATGTTTCTGCTTGTAATAGTAGCTTTGAAATCAAAAGTCTGAGATCATATTTTTAGCTCGACTGTCTTATTTTTGTAGCAGAGGAGAAGATTCACAAAAAACTTGAGGGCTCTTTGCCTCCTGAAGTTGATTTATCTCCTGGAGCAAAGGATCAAGTGGAAATGTAAGTCTTCCTGTAAAAGAAAATATAGTCTTCTGTTTATGCAGATGTAAACTTAAGTGCTATTTTGAATAGATGTTTGAGTATCACCACTGGCTTTGACATAAGTATCTGAAACTAATTTTTATACTAAAATGTTTCCTTCTGCAAATGAATTGTGCACATGGTTGGGTGATCAAACAGTTCCCTGTAGCGTATTTAAGACTTCACCAGCTATTTTTTCTTTATTTTGTACCTGAAAAAAAAATGCTCTGCCATTGCGCTAAGCATTATTACAGTTATAGGAAAGGTCAGTGCACACGCCATTTGCTCTTAGTACTGGATTACTGATTTTCATCCTCAAGCAGAATCATTTTCAAGTCACCGTTGTCATTCTGGAAGTCTTTCCCAGGATGCAATTTGCTGTGAGTCTTAACAGCTGAAGTACTGAGGCTGAGAAGATGAGGCAAGGTCAAATTATAGATGAGTTTCTCTACAGCTCTTTAAGTTGGAGACATTTTTGTAAAAGCACCCCCCACCTCCAGATCGTATTCGTCAGGCCCCCCAAGTGGTCTCTTGAGCGCTGATTTCTTCAAGTCATTTTTAGCAGGGCCACTTGCCATTCTGAGCCACACATTCCAGGGTCCGTCAACTCAATCTTCAGGTTCTGGGTGTTGCTCCGCATGGCGTTTTCTTTGTGGCACTTGCTCCAGTCCTGGACCTAAGTGCAGCTGTCTCAGCATATTCTGTTCTCTCTTAGAACAGAGCAAGCCAGGGGGGCATCTAAGAGGCACAGATTGTCTGTTGGGCCTCTTGCGGTCAGCAGCCGCCTGCGAGAGCTTGGAGCTCCTCAGACTTCTCTGGTGGCAAGCCTTCCCCACTCTGTTCCTCCATCCTGTAGAAGCTGGCATGCATTCCCCATGTTTTTAGAGTTTGCCCTAATGCAGTCTGAAAGCTCTTGTTTGTGTAGTTGCAGAGTCGTGTCTGACCCGTCGCGACTGCATGGACAACCTTCCTCCAGGCTCTCCTCCGCCATCCCTCAGAGTCCACCCAAGCCCACACCCACTGCCCCAGGGACCCCATCCAGCCACCTCATCCTCTGCCGCCCCCTTCTCCTTTTGCCATCAACCGTCCTGGCATCAGGGCCTTCTCCAGTGAGTTGTTTCCTCTGGCACCCCATAAAACAGAATGCACAAACTCTGAGCAATCCGGATGCTCTTGCAAAACCGCAGTGTCGCCGTTTGTGGAATGGGCTGCAAGACCTTTCACTTGCTTTGTGTCCTTTTCCCCCCACAGGTATTATGAAGCATTTCCACCACTTTCCAAGAAACCTGTCTGCCTGCAAGAAATCATGACTGTATGGAACAAATCCAAAATCTGCTCTTACTCCAGCTCCTCCTCCTCCTCTTCCACTGTCCCAGCAACGAGCACCGACACGTCGTCTCCAAAGGACGGCATTAGTGAAAGCGAAGTGTCCAAAGAAAGAAGCAGCAACAAAGTACCTGTCACTGTACATGAGAGAGCCACACAGAAAGCCGATAAAGGTGAAAAGGAGAACAAGTTTGGGAACAGCAGTTTTGACGAGAAACCCGCTTTATGCAAGAAACAGGTCCGACATAAATCTGAGGGAAAGATGCGTCCTCAGTCCTGGTCTTCTGGCTCCAGTGAAGAAGGTTCAAATTCTAGTGATAACCAAGGCGAATTAAAAGCAGCTACAAAATGTGTAAAAGTGAGGCATAAAACAAGGGAGGTTCGGAGTAAAAAAGGACGGAATGGACAAAGCAGACACCTGGCAAAAGCTGGTGAGAAAGCGGAGAGGAAAATCCATGGCAGTGGCGGCAGCAACGGATCCATTAAGCAACTGTGCAGAAGGGGCAAACGGCCGCTTAAAGAAATCAGAAGGAAAGATGCTGGCCACTACGACAGAAAAGAGCTGTATTTCGATGGCAGAAATGAAAAGGAGTACAAGGAGGAGCCCTTGTGGTATACTGAGCCGATTGCAGAATACTTCGTTCCCCTGAGTAGAAAAAGTAAGCTTGAGACAACGTACCGCAACAGGCAGGATGCGTGTGACGCTACATCAGAGGCTGTCGAAGGATTAGCTGAATCAGTGGAAGGTCTTTGCATTAGCAACAATAATATTAATAAAACATACCTCGCAGCAGGTACTTTCATTGACGGCCACTTTGTGGAAATGCCTGCAGTTCTAAATGAGGATATCAGCCTCGCTAGGACCTCAATGTGTTCTCGACCGGAGGACGACACTCACTTGGATGGTGTTCATCTGTCAGAACTAACACACTTCTATGAAGTGGATATTGACCAATCCATGTTGGATTCTGGTGCCTCAGGCAAGATGGAAGGAGAGAGTCGGATTTTGAATATGATTCGGCAGAAAAGCAAAGAGGGGACGGACTTTGAGGCAGAATGTTGCATAGTGTTTGATGGAACGGAGTTGCAAGGGGAAAGTGCAATACGGGCAGATGCGGCCCCCTCCAGTGCTGAAGGGTGGTTCTTGCAAGATCTCAGCAATTTAGCTCAATTTTGGGAGTGCTGTTCAACTTCTAGTTCTGGTGATGCCGATGGGGAGAGCTTTGGAGGAGATTCTCCTATAAGACCTTCCCCTACCTTAGACAGCACAATGCTTAATTCACACATGCTTGCAGGCAATCAAGAGCTGTTTTCAGATATTAATGAAGGGTCTGGTTTAAATTCTTTTTCAGTGTTTGAAGTGCAATGCAGTAATTCTGTCTTACCATTTCCTTTTGAAAAACTCAGTTTGGGAAATGAAAATAGAGATTGTAGTAGCAATGTTGGTATGTTTGGGAAAAAACAGTCTAGATTGTTAATATGGACCAAAAATAGTGCCTTTGATGAAAACGAACACTGTTCTAATCTGTCGACGAGAACGTGTAGTCCATGGTCATACTCTGAAGAAACACGCTCAGACAATGAGACTTTAAATATTCCATTTGAAGAATCTCCTCCATTTAACTCAGACGATGTTAATTACGTAGTTCCCAGAGTATCCTCAAGTTACGTAGATGAAGAAATTGGCGATTTTTTGCAGGAGGAAACCTGCCAGGAACAGGCTAGAACTTTAGGAGAAATGTCTACCTTAATTTTTACAAAAAAATCTAAACTAGAATCTGTCTGTGGTATTCAGCTAGAACAAAAAGCTGAAGAGAAAGAATACGAAGCTACGCAGCCGTGCAGCGACAGCAGCCCGCACGAAGATGACTATGGCTCAGGGGGTATCAAAGACATCTGGACAAATATGGCCGAGGAAAATTCTGCAGCGATCGTAGAGATAGATGGGATAGAAGAGGAGTTGTTTTCTGCTGATGTAAATCATTACTGCTGCTGCTTAAGTGACGCAAAAGTAGAAATTCTTCAGGATCCTAGCAAGGCGGTGCAGAGATCGGAGTATCATCTTTGGGAAGGCCAGAAAGAGAATTTGGAGAAAAGAGCTTTTGCTTCAAACCACGTATCCAAAGTGGATTGTGGGGATTATACGACGCCCTCCAAACCATGGGATATTAACCAAGACAAAGAGAGTGCGTTTATCCTTGGTGGCGTTTATGGGGAGCTGAAAACGTTCAGCAGCGATGGCGAGTGGGCCGTTGTGCCGCCCCGCCATCCAAGAGGAAACCTGCTCCAGTGCGCAGCTTCCGACGTCGTAACGATCGCTGGGACAGACGTGTTCATGACGCCAGGAAACAGCTTTGCCCCCGGCCACAGGCAGTTGTGGAGACCCTTTGTATCCTTTGAGCAGAGCGAGCCGTTGAAGTGTGGTGATCACGGATTAAATAGGGGGTTTTCGTTTATCTTCCATGAAGACTTGTTAGAAGCCTGTGGTAATTTTCAAGCTGAAGAGTCGGGTCTCGAGTACTCCTTCTCTTCTTTTGACTTGAATAATCCATTTTCACAAGTTCTTCATGTGGAATGTACTTTTGAACCGGAAGGAATTGCATCCTTCAGCCCTTGCTTTAAACCCAAATCAATCCTTTGCTCTGATTCTGACAGGGAAGTTTTTCGCCCTAGAATCTGTGGCCCTGGGAGGACCCAGTACAGAGCAATACGGATTTCTCCCAGAACTCACTTTCGCCCAATTTCTGCATCTGAACTTTCTCCATGTGGTGGAAGTGAGTCTGACTTTGAATCGGAGAAAGATGAGGGGAACATTACTGCCCCTTCTCAAGCTGAAGTGTTTGATGATCCCCAAGCAGATCTCAAACCACTGGAAGAAGATGCAGAAAAAGAAGGGCATTATTATGGCAAATCAGAACTTGAGTCTGGGAAGTTCCTTCCTAGGTTAAAAAAGTGTGGGATGGAAAAGAGTGCACAGACATCTCTGGACTCCCAGGAAGAATCATCTGGAATATTGGTGTTAGAAAATGAAAATTCTTGCTTAGAGTGTGGTATGAAAGCACTACAAGATTCGATGGCTGTAGAAAACTCAGAATCTAGTTGCATCGTTGTGGAACCACAAGAAGAGGAAGACAAGTTTTGCAGTTGTAAAGATAATGCATATGAAAATCTTGTTTCTTCAACACAGCTGAAGGAGGTATGCCCTTGAGCAGTGCGTTTTTATTTGTGATTGAAAAATGCACCCTGGTTAAGTAGGGCGAAATGTAATGTAATGGGTCGGTTGTGTCAATTGCAGGAGAAGTGTCATGACATGTTTGCTTTGTTGAAACCAAGCTTTTTTTAAAAGATCTAAATGGTTGTAAATGGGCGCAAGCAAACATGCCGGTTCCTGGCAATCGTTCCTTTTGTAAGAAAGAAGAGCAAAACAACCCAGGGAAAGCCCATCCTTCAGCAGTCAAGCATGCTGTGTGAACTGGCATTTCTGGGTGGCTGAGAGAGAAACAATCCGGAGTCATAATCTATGGATTATGCAACACTGGGCAGTCTCCTCCTCCACTGATTCAGAAATCCTGTTGGCGGGTCAGACTTCATAAGCTGGGGCAGTCTGAGCTCTAAAATTCCCCAAATCATTTCTTAGTTTCATGGGAAAACTTTGCTACTTAGTAAAATATTTCAAGTCAAGTGAGCTGAAATAGAACACCTAGGGTTTAATGCAGATTTATTGGAATGGTTGCAAATGAACTGTGGAAGAATAGAAAGAGTTAACCCGTTCATACTTAGGCCTTCTAACTCTGTGCCCTGACATATAAAGCAAGGTCTCTGCCCAGTTGGGGTGGTGGCATTAAAAGGTTATGAGAAGGAAAAGGTCGTGACATAGTCCTATAGCCTGTGGGGCGGCATGCAAATTGTAACCAATCCAGTCCAGTCAGTCCGTGGCAGGAAGCCCTTCTCTCCGGGGCCAGCACCGCCGGGTGCAGCAGGAGGGTTCGGGGCAGGGGCCCGGTGCCGCACGAGCCCGCTTTCAGTTCCCATCTCAGAATTTGCGGCCCTCGAACTGCCACTGCTTCTTGTTTAAGGAAGGGCTTGCCCTTTCAGCGATGGTTCGTCACTCAGTCCTAGTCCCAAGTTTGCCATGGTTTTCGGATGCCTCTCCCAGCTCAGCTGTACCTTTGGCAACTGACAAGCTCCCCCCAGAAACTGGTGGGGTGGAAACCGATGTGGGTCACGGTGGCTTTGGCTCCAGATGGAACGAAGTCGCGGTGATCTTGTTGTTTGTGGGAGTTGCACATTCCCCACTCTGCCTCTTTCCCTGCCTTGATGCGCATCCATTTGCCCCTTAAAAATGTTGGGAGCAAAGACCCCAGCTTGTCGTCCACTGTGATGTCGCTTGACCTTCATTTCTCAGATTCTGGAATGCACCAGAGAGCATGCATTTATTTAAAATAAAAGGGCAACTGCAGGCCCTCCAGCCTCAGAGGGAGAAAGAGAGATGCAGTTCAGTATGGAAACACGCAGCCATGCGCAAAAGCAAAAGACATGCAGTGATCAGACTGGCTGTTTGGTCTTTGTTTTTTGCGTTTTCAGGGACAAGCACAGCGAGGCTTGCCTTCCTATACAAACCTGTGGAAAACTTGGTCTCTGCCACCCCACACACCATAGCTGTGGGTGCGCCTCGGCAGAACAGAGGTTCCCGAGTACAGATCCAAGGCTTGTGCTGTACAGGTTTAGCAAAACCTTCTGGTGTATACTACAGCCAATCCACAGAAGAGCTTTTCAGCATCTTTCTCTGGCTCCCAGTTACGGTATAAGCAGGAGTGCAGTGGGGTGTCATGTTCCATTTATTTTCAACTAAAATAGTTGTTCTTAAAACAGTTTCCTGTACTGAATACTGATCATCAGAAGATAAGCTACAATCAAGCCAAGCAGTGCTGGTGGGAGAAAGCTCTCTATACACCGCTCTTTCCTGCATCGCAGTATGAAGGTAGCAGCATCTTTAATTTCATACAGGATTGTGCATTTTACAGTTGAGCCAAAACACAAGAGGAATGTAGCTGAGAGTGTACCAAGGGGTCTTTACGTAGGAGGGCAGTGTCATCGAGAATGTCTTCCCACTCGGCTCTTGCGTAGCATAGGAAGGTCCTCCAGGCAGAAGATAAGCTTACGGAGTTGTTACATGCATTCCGCGGTAAACCACTACAAGGCAAATGATCATCCCCGTTTAATTTTGGCTGCCACGCAGCGTGTAAGCGACATCGTCATGGCTCCCCGGTAGCAAACAGAGGAAACGCATGCCGACAGAAGTGGAGTCCAGAGGGGCTTCCGAGCAGCAAGAGGGAAATGGCACGTGCAGAATCTGGAGGGCAGGCTGTGTTTCCCAAGCATTGGCTCCTGTGGCCAGCTGTGAAGTCCAGTCCCACCAGGACCGCACGGTTATCAACACAAATACCACCTGCACTTCATCAGCGCAAGTGCAGCCGTGCTCTGGGGGCAGTCTGCCTCTAACGAGATGCTGCAGATGTGCCATAGCCTGGCAGTGTTCACCCCTGACACAGGGGAAAGGGCATTTCAAGGGGTGGAAGAGTACGCACAGGTCGTCTTGCATCCGTTTTAGTGTAACACCTTCATTAGACCAGCTCAGAGGTACCGGGAATTCGCAGGCTTTCAAGTTATCCGGGTCTATTCAGGCAAAAAGTTATAAAAAGTAGGTTAGGGTGAGGGAAATCTGAGAGGAGAAAAGACTGGCATTCTGTTGAAGTCACGATGTTTTAACGTAATGCAGGCTTTAGGTAAGTTGATGGCATGTGAAATTTCTGTGTTTCTTTTAGTCAGTGATTTATTTCACAGCTTTTGACCGTTCATTTTCACTACTCTTTTTTTTTTTTTTACAGATGTGCATGAATACATGCACTCTCTGCCCTATTTCAACACATTGTTTCTGGTATAAACATTAATAGTTGAGGGATGGCTGTTTTGGTTAATGCGATGCCTAGATTAATTTTCTCTGAGACTTTTACATCAAAAAAGAAGGAAGAATGAATAAACTTTTTCTGTAGCATGAATTTATGGGTACCTAATGTTGAATGAACAAGTTCAGTTTGTAAAACTCTCAGCGCTTTAACAAAGGATCAGCCTTTAACACTGAACGAAAAATGCAACCCATCTTGCAAAGAGGTTTTTTCCATTTAAAAAGAGAGTCTTTATTGTAGGAAACATGTCAAAGAAAACAACTAATTTAAAGCATTTTAACCCTAACTTCAGCCAGATAAACAAAACTCTTTCAGGAACGACCTATGAATATTAATATGCTCTCATGTCAATACAAGAGCGCTCGCTGTCGCTCGCTCGCTCGCTCGCTCGCGCTCTCTCTCTCTCTCTCTCTCTCTCTCTCTCTCTCTCTCTCTCACACACACACACACACACACACACACACACACACAGTGGGAAGGGGAAGAAAAGAAGTCTGGGCATGTCTTAATTACAAATTTATTACATCCATATTGGTGTGAAAATACATTTTGTACATTTTATTAGGCCAACCCAAAAATACACAGACGTTTAAGTTCTGTGGATAACAGAAAAATAAAGTGTTAGGTAAGTAAAGGTAAAGCATTAGAAAAGCAGCTGCAACGAGTAGGAGAGGACGAGAATGTTGCCTGGATGTTGAGGACATACTGTCTTCAGCTGAAATAACAGAGGGCGTGCGGACATCAAGCGGAGCTCCACCTGGCTTGGTGGTCGTTGCAGGTGCTCGCGGGTCGGGCAAGCGGAAGCAGTTTCCCTCGAAGAGCCGCATGGCGAGGCCAGGTCGGTCTCTTCCCTCACCAGGATGCCCTGTGGCTCCCGAGAGACGACAGCTGAGTGGAGTTGAGGCTTCCCTTCACGCCTGTTTCGGATTTCACTCGTTAATTCATTCACGTGGTGTATGCCCAGCATTTGGCCTTCGAGGAATGCAGGGTGGCTTCCATGACCCTCCTCCTCCATTGGCATCAGTATCCCCCAGGCTTGCTGTTGAGCCCTAATTAAATAGTGTGAACGATGCACTGGCGAGCGTCATCCTGCACAGGTAACGCCCGGCTTGGCAAGCTTCAGTTCCTCTCCGTGGTCTCCTTGCGTCACAGGTATGGACTTAGTGCCTGTGCAGAGGCTCCTGCCAGGAAGCTGCTGTAGCTAAGCATTCGTGTGGTTGGCAGCTCCTCTTCCTGTTCCCAGGAAGTCTGGACCCAGGGGAGGAAAAAACCCCCTGAACCAGCACTTTTGCAGAGAAGCACAGCGCATTTTTTAAAGGAAATGGCCTGCCAGAAGAGCAGAATAAGAACTCCGCGCCGCTTAGGGAACAACCCTTTGAACGTCTGCCCTGAAGAAAGAACGGTGGTGTCTGGAGGAGGCGCTGGAGTAACTTCAGCCTGCTTTCTCCCTGGTCACTGTACAGGATTCAGAAGGATGGCTTGGTTAGTGTCCCGGCTGGCCAGAAGCTCCAAGCACACCCACAACAAGGTGGTGGCATGCGGCAACACGCTCTAGGCCACACAGAGATCGCCTGCCTGCAGGAAACGCTTGCTGCTCTTCCCAGGGGAATTTGGGGCTTCTGCGGTTCTTCCCTATCGTTTTTCTCTGAGCAAGGATTAAGATGGCTCTGGGGACAAAATTAGGGGAGGGGTGCAGAGGACTGTTCTCAGGAGAGGACGGCGAGCATTATCTGCGTGCGGTTGCTTGACTGCCTCTGTGGATCGAGGGGACCATCCTGGGTCCAGTCCCTTCAGGAACGCCATGGTCCTGTGGGTGCAGGCGGATGTCCACCAGGGCAGGCCTCCAGTGTTGTGCCTGTTAAGCAACATGAACTGCTCAAGAAGGGAAGATTGTGACAGAACTCCCGTTCCTGGCAGGAATTTTGAATGGAGGGGCCACCCAGGTCCTCTTTTTTTTTTTTTTTAATCACCTTGTTTGTGTAGTTGTCTGTAACAGAAGTTTTCTGGGCAACTCATAAGTCAACAGTAAAATCTAGTATAAAGCAAAAATGTTAAAAACGAGTAGGCACGTCTGTATGCGCAGCCAAACGAGTGACTCTTGCGGCATCTTGAGGGCTAACCAGTTCTCTCTGGTTTGTGGACACTGCACCCTGCCGGATGAAGGACTGATTCAGAGTAGGGGATTCCCAGCAGCCCCAGGCTGAGCCGTGGTCAAAAATGTCAGGAAAGGGCTGTTGAAGGGTGTGTGGAGATGGCGCTGGCAAGGCATCGAGGGGGCTGTGCCCCAAAATGCAAGACTCAGGCATTGTTGGTGGATCTCCAGAATGAAGATGGCCCTGATTCCGTACTGCGAAGGAAGCCAGCGATGCAAAAGGCGAGCGCTGGAAGACTGGGCCTTCTGCAAACCTGGTGGTGTGAGTGGGGACCTGACGCCCCAGGAAAACCTCTGCACCTGTGAGCGGAGAAGCAGCTGGCGCAACAGTATCACTCACCTTGCCTAGATGCCGGCACGACAGCGTCCATCTGCGCGAGGGGGGCAGGAGTTGAAGATGCTGGAGCAGAGGGGACGAACGTGCATCGCCCCATCGGGGGGCACCCCTGCCCTCTTCCCCAGGGGAACCTATGTTGCCTATGAGGAAGGTTCAGACGTGCGCTGTTTGGAGTCGGTCTGTTTTGGGGGGCTCCCTCCCTCTCCACGTCCACATGAAAGGATGAGAACTTAGCCAAAGGGGATTTGATGCTTGCAGCCGAGGTGCAAGCATGCAAAGGGTCGAAGGAGAACGCTTGCCTTCTCGGGCTCCTTCCCGGTCCTCTGCCTCTGGACGCCAGACCCAGGTGCGCCCCAGGAATTTGCTCCGCTGCTGCAGCTGGGGACTAGAAGCCAAGTCCACCCAGAGAGGTAATTGAGGGGGGGGATTCGCCTGGGAGGGGGTCCATTTCTTGCCAACACCCCTGCATGCCCAGAGTCCTCACACCCATGGCCAGGGTGCTGCCCCTGATCGCTCTCCGCGCAGACAGAAACGGGGCCCCTGCTGAACCCCACGTCGTCTGTGTTGGGTGTCCCCCACAAGCAAGTCACTGGCCAGGGGTGCTGTTTGCAGAACGAGTGGCCCGGCACCCCCTCTTTATGGAAGCCCAGCAATCTGGCACCAGCCCAATGGAGACAATCTGTTGCTCGTTGCAGGATCAAAGCCAGGGTGCGCTGCAGAAGAGCGGTCGCTGAGGAGAGAGTTCCATGGCAGCTGGCTGAGGTGCCCGGAGGGGTGATGCACCCCTGTGGCAACTCCTCCCCACCCTGGGCCCCCTCCCCATGTTTCTCTCCACAGGCAGCCAGACAGACGTCCAGCCTGGGCCGAAGCACGGAGGCTCCCTGCACAGCCCGCCTGCGCTTTCAGCCACCCCCAGCAAGACGCCGGCTCTTCCCCCGCGGCGTTGCTCCGTTGGCCTCTGCGTGGGCCTCCGAAGGCTGCATGCCGGACGGGGGCAGCTGGGCTCCCCCAGGGAGGTTGTATTGGGGGCTTCCAAAGGCACGGGATGCATGAGGATGTCTGGAATGTCACACTTCCCGCCCGTGATGCTGTCCAGAGTCACAACCGCGATCCCTCAATAAAAGTGTGTCTGTTCCGCTTGTCTTTCTGTGGTTGCCTGAAGGGGGGGCCCTTCTTCACTCCCGTGGTCTTCCTGGGGCAGGTCGTGGCTGGGGTGACCCGCCAACACTGAGGGGCTGCGTCCCCCATGGCCTCGACACTGGGCACCCCCGCTGGAGTTCAGGAGGCGGTCCTAGCCCTCGGCGCCCTTCCTCCCCTTCCCACCAGGGTCAGGACAGCGAATGTGGGGGAGAAGGAGCTGGAGTGGGCTGGGTCTGCTGAGCAAAGGGACAGCCTCTTGTTGAGCAGGCTGGGTGGCCGCGGATACGCCTGGGAGCCCACGGGAGCCGAGGCTGTCCGTGGGGATGGCTCTGCAGAGGTGCTGCGTAGCACTGGGCGATGTGTCCGTGACCCGGCCCAGCCCCGAGAGGCCACTCGGATCCCATATTGAGCTCCTCTTTGGCCTCAGGTGGGCCTTGGAGGCTCGGGGGCTCATGTCGCCACTGCCCCTCTTTCCCTGTGAGACGGGTGGCCCTGTGGAGCAGCAGCCACGCTTGCTCTCTCCAGGGAGAGAACTGATCCCGGTTCTCCTGCTCACCACAGCTCTGCCGTCCCCCCCGGTGTTTTGGCGCAGCGTGGCCGGGCCTCCCGCGGCAAGCCTTTTTGGAGGGCGGAGGTCACGCAGGTGCTAACAGCAGGCCTGCCGGGTGCAAGTGGGTGAATGCGGCCCTGTCGCCGTGGCCAGTGTGGCCAGCGGTGAGGGTGCTGGAAGGTCAGGTCCGGCCTGGCACCATCCGGCAGCCTTCCCTGCCTGGCCCAGGCCAGACTGTGCCCTGACATGGGCCGCTGCCGCACTGGGGCCGCCGGACGGCCATTCCTCCGTGCTGGTCCCAGCATCCTGCAGTTCGGTCGTGCGTTTTATGCGTGAACAGTGGGCGAGCGTGCAAGGACGGGCTCCTAGGATTGGCTTGCCTTGAGAGTCCACTTTTTCGCCTATTTATTTAATCTGTGTTTCTGTTCCGGCATTTGCCCTCAAAGGAGCCCTGGATAAATAATACAATTAAAAGATAAAAATAAACAAATGGTTTTCTAAATCATCATTGTATCTCCTTGTGTGTGACCAGTTGGATCAACTCTCCTTCCTTCTTGCATTTTTGTTGCTGTTCTGCACACTTTTGACATTAACTGTCCAGAATTTTGCCATTTTAATTTAATTTTCTTTTTTAAAACGTTTGTAATAGCATTCCTGTTTTTTCTTCCCCTTCCCCAACTCTTTGAAATAAATCATTTAAAGAATGCTGTGCAAATGTCAAGAGAGAAAATGGTGTTGGAGAATTCACAGATAGAAAAGAAACGCCACCCAGCGAAGAACATCCTCTAGATTTTAACATGGTAAGTTTTCCTTTTTAATGGTTATGACCGTTAATTCACCCTTGCCAGCATGTCTGGAAGTAAGGTAACATCTAGAATACCAACTTTTCCCTTTTCACACTAAATGTATTTAATTCACAGCCCTGCTATGTAGTATTGCCTGGCCAGGGCAGATAACTCAGAAATGTGATTTCTGCAGAACAAAGCCCACCTTGTTATGATAGCTTACAAGGTGGTGATGAGATTGGCGTCGGGTTGAGGAGACCGCCTTTAATTTGGAAAATTTTTGTAGAGATACCCTCAGATGAATTTCAAAGCCTGGGATCCAAGGTCCTTCCTGTGCACAAATGGCACTTCCAGTTGTAGAGGGAAGGGGCTGCCGATTTTCCACTTTGTCCCTCATGGCACAAGATTGTGTGTGAAAGGGGGACTTTCGAGTGTTCGTGAAGCCGCTTTGGGTGCTGGCCATCCAGACTTGTGAATAGGAGATGCCTTCTGTTTGTGCAGGAAAGCGGGCCAGTGGAGGTTTCCCAGTAATTTTCACCAGATCCCCCGGTTCCAGAGAGAAGGGGCTTCAGAGGGAGACTGGGAAATCAGAGAATCGCAATCCGTTCTGGCAAGCCTCCAGCAAGGACAGACCTGGCTCAGACCCTTTGTTCACAAACTAGGACTAGTGCACGTAACATCTCTGAAAAATTGGCACGAACATTTGTGCATTCTGTTTGCTCTCTCATTCTTTTCGAAAAGCCCCGATTTGCTGTTCTGCCGTAACGTTTTAAAATGCCAACCCGTAGGTTTCCTCTGTGCACGAAGCCAGGTGTACGGATCCTAGAAGGTCTGAAACAAAATCAAATGGTTTTAGGAAGACGCTCTACTCCAGTGACAGTTCTGACAGCACCGCGTCCGAAGGTGGAAATGGGTGGACAGATCCTTGTGAGGAAGAACTTTTCTCTCGAACTCACCTGTGAAAAGCGCAGATTTAAAATAGTTGGTTGAAGAATAGCATGAGATGGGAAACTCTTCCAGAGGGCCTGTAACTCATCGATTAACCGAGTTCTCCCTGCAGTTAATGGATTCAGAAGTGTATTTATCTTTCTCTTCTTGATATTTTATTTTCAATAGTTGGGATCATGGTCCCATTGAAGGCTTTTTTTTTCTGCCCTCCAAACTGTTAGCTCCCTGGCTATTTGGACCTAGAGTAGATTGTGTTGTCAAATCAAGAATGGGTCTGCATGTGATTGTCTTGGTAGTCTCACTGCTCATTTGCATCCCAGCTGCAGTTACTTTTATTTTTAACTGTAGCCCTATCAGTATTACTATCTTACTAGCATTGCAGTGTCTACAGCTATTCAGAGATTTATCTTTTGGCACATTTAGGCTTTTAAGATTTGGGAGATAAATACTTAACACTGTAATCTATCAGTGCCTTTCTGAATGTGAGAGGAAAGCATGCGTGACTTGTCCTATCTTTTAAGATCGTCTAACTCTGGAGTAGGAATTCTTGGGATGCGCTTTAGAGACTTTCAGAAACTGTGTTTTCTATTCTAGGGTCTCACCTCCTAACTCACATGTAACGAACACAGTTGAAACTCTCTGTTACCTTCCTGCTAACTGAAGAAGCTGAGGATTTTTGCAGACGTAGTGGCGGGGAGAACCCGTTTCTCCTCTCCTCTCCTCTTGTTTTCAGGGCTCAGTATTTCATCTTTTTCAGGGCTCAGTGTTGTAAAGTAGAAAATTAAAGACATGTGACATGATAACCCAATCCCAAGCACCCTTACATCAATGGTACATACTTGTAGTTATGGTTAGGGTTGTACCATTAAATCCTGCAAGGAAACAAACGGACAGTAAACTTGGTTACACGCTGGTCAAAATGACCGAAACCATCAGAGAGTCAACGTTCAGCACATCATCATCATCTGCAGAGGGTTAGTTTATCACTCATCATAAATCCAGTGGCTCCTACAATTAGCTACTATTGTGGCTCCGATTTAGTAAAACTTATAGCTAACTCTGTGTCCCGAGAGAATGTTAGGAGTAAGTTGTGTGTTTGTGGGTGGGAGTGGGGAACATGACTTTCCTGTGTGATCGCAGTCGTGATTGTTGCTTTATGTGACCTGCTCTTAAAGTTTATTTTAACATGGTCAATGCATCTGTCAAGTTGTGATGTGCAAGACTATCAACTCCCTGCGCTGCTAATGTATTATGCAAATCATAAGGCCAGGAGGAGCAATATTGGTTTGTACCATTTCATCATTTAAAAATCATCTATACAATAGCAGCATGTTTAAGACATCAGAAAGTACAGAAAGTTTACTCTAGACTTGAAAATGCTAAGCCATTAATTTTGATAGGCAAGAAACTCGTTAACAATTATAGTTCTTTGAAATGGTAAGCTGAACTGGCTTTGAAATTGTACTCTGTGCTAGAGAGCTAAACTGAATATGAGTTTTTTTGCCTTTTCTTAATTGATAGTACACGACTTAAGATCTAGGACATCAACACCTTATAAGGTTGCATGTATCCTTTCTGTTGAAGCTTAGACTCCATTGGCTGGGTTTGTACTTTCCAGGGAAATGTTATTAATAACTGCTTTTAAACTACATTATTTTTAGCATTCATTCAACAAATCTTTACAGTGTTGGGTTTTTTTCCTTATTTGAGATTCTGGATAAGTTTTTATATATTTACTTTCTTCTGGAGCTTCCTTTAAAAATGTTGTATAGCACATGCACTGAGAACATTTGTCTGTCAACATGAAAGCAAAAAGAACGAAACTGATAAATCCCTAGTGATTAACTTAACTAGAGTCATTGCTAGAATAATAAATGACCAAATGGGAATATTTGTGGGGGGAACCCACACCTTTTTAACTCATTTAGATAGAAATCTCAGTGAAAGGGTGGTTTGTTACATTATGATTTAATATTTTAACACCTTTAAAAATGTACATGTTACATGTGTGGGCAATAACAAATAATATTTATTTGTTTTGTAATTGAATGGATAAAATTCTGAAGCTTTCCAGTGAGAAGGTTGATGTGTGAGTTTGTGTTTTTGTTTTTCTGCAAGGATAATTTAAAAGTGGAGATGCTGAATTGCACTGTGGTATGAAGCGCGTCACATACCCATAGCACTGACGTACCCGTTTTTCATTCCTGGGCTGAATTCGTTTCTCCTTTTTCGCTTCAAGTGGTTGTATTGTTCTGATTTCACATACACCAGAGTAACTGAATTTGTTTTTTGTGGAGTTACTTAACACCAAATAAAAAATAAAAGGACAGTTGCATTGTTTGTTTTCAAAATACAGCATCCCACAAATCAAAGGACTACTGATACAAGCCTGGACCTTCTAGTACTCTGAGCGCACATAGCCAGAGACCACACGTCTCCACCTTTGCATGGGTCAACCTTTCACAGGAAGCTAGACTTTGTTTCTTTTAGGCTTGCCACCCTCATATTTTCCTTTTCATTTTTCCCTCTTCCCCACCCCCTTTCTGTTACCCTGCTTTTTGCTTTATTAAGTTCATAGCGCAATTAACAGGAATTGCAAATCATAATAATCAAAGCCCAAAGGAATACATTAAGCGTAACAGTGCTCGAGAGTTTTCATCTGAGAGTTGTGTGTGTGCCAGCTTTTTCAGATCTTAAGTTTAATGTCCCTAATTAGTACAGTAAATATTATAAATCAGCTTAGCGGATGCTTCCTAGTATGTCAACCTTTCTGGGATCTTCATCTAGACTCACATTTTTTCTGATAATTTCTCAGTTGTATAGTATTGCTACAAATTGAAATGGGCAGGTCTGGAACTACCGAGAGGGCCTGAAGATCGCATTGTCTGTCGGTGTTATGGAAGGTGCTCTTTGAGCCCGATTCTGTAGCTAACTGGATCCACCCACTAGTTGTTCCATCTAGGTTGCTAATCAGGATGTCATGAGGCATTTTGTGAAAAGCGTTGCTAAAGTCAAGATATGTCACAACATTCTCCTGTGAAGATTGGTAGAAATTACAATGTAATAGTTTCAAATAGTTCCCTGGAGTCATTCTTCTTAAAATTGAACTCTCTCTGTAGATTTAGGTATGAGCTTTAAATACTTTCCATAGATTGGTCTTAAACCAGTTGGATAAACTGATTTGATTTTAAGGCACAGTAGTCTTCTGAGAACTATCATCATATTCGATTTACCCAAATGCATCATTTTGCCCTTTTTTAATTTAGAAACCACAGTAAGTTACAACGGTAGAAAAGATTTTGCTCCTTGGATTTTCTTCTTGACACCTTTGCAAGTAAGGCAAAGTCCGGCATGCTGGCGTTTCAGTTTCTCCAGCCTCTCATGCAGCAGCTCATTAGCAGCCACCTTGTCCTCAAAGTCCCTCAAGAGCAGTGTGTTTCCAAGTAAGCCACACTTCTGCTGGAGCTTCTGATTGTCCATTCGCAACTTATCCCGAGCTTGTTTGGTCTTGGTTAAGATCTCTCTCTTCTGGGCCACCAGAGCCTCGACGGCCATCAGCTGTACCTTTTGGCCTTGATTCTGCGCTTCCACAAACTGCAGTTTTTCCTTTACTTGAGTCAGGACTTGCACTGTGTTGGTGATTTTTCTACGAAGTTTCAGAAGCTCCTCATTGCGCTCCTCAATCTTCTCATTGTAGGTTTGATTCTCTATCTTCAGCTGCTCAAAGTCTATTAAATGCAAACCTTCTGCTAACTCCTCCTGCGCTTTTAGACTTGCCTCAAGTTTTTGGATCCTGCGTTTCAACTTTATATTTTCTAGACGAGCCTAGAACGATAAAACCAAAGTAAGGCTCTGGATACAATACCAAATCCCTTATCTTACTCAAGCAAAGTAGATTGGAAGCACCCAAGGACTGGTACGCACACTGGGACAGCTCCGCTATGGAGTGTGTGGAACAGCTAGTTACAAATGAAGCTCTTCCAAATAACGTACTACGGGAGGTGATAACAGAAGGCCAGGGAGCCACGTGGAGCTCAATATGATCTCTGCTGACATGGAAACATGGGAAAGGATGTACGGGTGTGAGTGAATTGCTAGCTTTCAGCGCCAGCCATCTATCTGCCCAATTAGCTTATGTCTGTCTCCCTGTACTGATATAGTTCATCTTTCGTACAGCCCAGAGTTTTGGGAATAGGTGGGAATACCCAGCCTGAGGAAATATGCCTGCATCATTGCAAGTCAGCAGGTAAAGATAGTCTGTGGCGGCAGGGAATGGGCTGCATTGGCTTCCGTCCTAGTGAGCAGGAGGCAGCAGAGGCATCCCATTTTATCCTCACAACAAACCTGTGGGTGAGTTAGGCTGAGTAACTAGCCCAAAGTTGCCCCTTGAGCTTCATGGCCAAGTGGGGAGTAAAACCCGGTTCCCCAGGCCAACACTAACCACTGGCTCTCCAAACTAGAAGGGTGCTTGCTGGTGTCTTGCCAGCAACCTTCACTTTTCTTCCACCAGCTTCACCCAGAGCTCCGCTGGACCTTTACGCCTGTTCGTGAATGGGTCCTTTTGACTGCACAGCAAGAGGTTTGTGGTCCTGTTCATAGTGTGGTGGCAGGCCTTTGCTGCTTTGGGCCCAGGCCAAGGTGGCACCACAATCTGTCCCTATGGAACCGCTGGAGGGCCTGGGCCCGGGGCTCAGGGCAGCTCGACCCTCCAGCAGCAGGATGGCTGGGGAACACAGGGACTGGGGAGCAGCCACTGCACCCCAAAATCACGCGCTTCGCCTGAAAACGCAGGCCCACCAGAGGGACAAGCCAGAAGGCAGCCCCAGGGCGTGATGCTTGTGCAGCGCTGGACTGCAGGATGCGCACCTTGCCCGAGCAGCCACTCGTTACTTCCTTTTTGGCTGGGGCCCTGCAAAACCGGCGAGGCCCTTTCCAAAAGGGCACAAGAGGCACCGGGGCCCCCAACCGCGGGGTGCTGCCGCAGCGGCCAGGCCAGGGAGGGTGGCTGTGCCCCGCGGCCGCGGCCCCGCTCACCTGCGTCAGCTCCTCCTCCTTGGCTTGCTCGCGCGCCTGGATCTGCTCCACCGCCTGCACCGCGGCCCGCCGGCCGCCCAGCCGCCGGCCCGTGGTGTACACGGCCACCTCCCGGGCGGCGGCCTGGTACGCGCGCCACTGGCCGCCCACGAGCGCCTGCCTCTCCTGGCCCGCGCGCCGCAGCGCGGCCTCCCGCTCGCGCGCCCCGGCCAGCTCCGCCGCCCGCTGCCCGCGCAGCTCCTCCAGCGCGGCCAGGTAGCGCCCGTAGCGCTGCTCCCGGTCCGAGACGCGCGGCTCCGGCCCCGGCCCCGGCCCGGCGCGGGCGCGCTCCGTGCTCTTGCCCTTGCCCAGCAGCGCGCCCAGCTGGCCCTGCAGCCGCGCGTTGTGCTGCCGCCGCCGGGCGCGCTCGGCCAGCAGCTGCCGGTACTGGTCGGCCAGCTCCGCGCGCTGCCGCTGCTCCTCGGCCAGGCGCTCCAGCCGCCGCGCCTCGGCCTCGGCCTCGGCCTCCTCTTCCGCGTCGGGGCCGAGCGCGGAGCCCAGCGACGAGCGGCTGTAGCTGCGCTGCTCCAGCTCCCACAGGCTGCGGCTGACGCGGCGCTCCGGTCCCGCGCCCGCCGGCGGCTCCGAGGGCGCGCCCGCCGGCGCCTCGGCCAGCAGCCAGGCGGCCGACGGCGCCTCCTGCA